GGCTTCCAGAAAAGAGATAAACTCTCAGCTGAGACCGCTTCAGTTCGGCCACATATGACCTGGCATGGAACTATCAGCTGTTTGATCTACCCACCATTTTCCGACAACCCGAAGTGTCCTGGGGACACAGATCTTTCTGGGAACAGAGGCCCGAACGATAATTCGCCAATTGATTTTTCTATTGTTCAAGTATCACATACCTATCTGGCGAATGAATGGCAGTAATGTTCTCGTTTTGTAAGTGCCCAGAGGAACGCAAACCTCATTTTCTTTCACATAGCACACAGTTCCAGCTCCGGAGACAAGTTACCAAACCGAGAATGATCCTCAACTTTGGAAAACTAACCAACTTATAACTTTAACATTACTAGGAAAACCAGACTCACCTTTAAAGACTGCTACTCCAGAATGGGACTAATGTTTAAAAAACGTAAATGAAAAATTGAGCCTTCTACCACCAAATGCAGTAGTTTCCCTGAGAACTGAATTCTTACACAGGCTGTTCTTCCGAAGGCGTCGTTGTGCTTCACAAATATGGAGATTTTTCTTAAATTCTCGGGGGCTGAGAGGATTATCTTCTGGAGGCCCACAGTTTACTACATTGGAATGATAAAATTAATTTCTTCTGGGGAAGTTTAGCTTGATTTAACCTCTAAAGCCATTTACGGAAATGATCAGTTCTCACTCGATACTAATCTTAGTTATCATTTCGATTGATCTCTTACGAAAGGGAAACCGTTCTTTCGGAACCAGGAGACGGATCGTTAACAGCTCATGGAAGAATCAGGCAGCAGATATCATAAAAGCAAACCGACTTCAAGAACACAGTAAACGAGACAGTACTTTTTCAGTTAATGAGCTCTTTCGAAAGTCGAGGCAAGTGCAGGCTCCCACGTTAATTTTCTATTGAGAGGGAGTTCAACTTCACACGATTTCAGATTAAGATAAAATACTTTAAAATGAAAGAAGACAATAAAATTCTTCAAGCAAGAAACCTTTGGATCGAGGAACCTTTTGTTGTTCCATTAAAGTGGGCATTTTCTCGTCCTCACTCTTGGAAGAGAAATCCCCTTCTTAGGAGGGACCATTTTTCCCAAATCACTGAGTGACGAACCAGTGTACTGCCCACTGAAGTGTAACTTGGCCTTAACAAGTCTAAATATTTGTGGCGTTCTAGTTTCGTCTGAAGTTTACTGAAACGGCCTTCCGTTTGCCGGTCACCATTTACTTTTCATTGGTAACTTAAAACAGTTCAATATACTTGCATACGTCATTGTATTATCAGTTATAGTACCCTGAGTAGGGAAGTAGTATGACCCTATCCAGACAGTAGTTAACGCACATCTGTAGAAAAATAGATTTTGTCCTGCTTTTGTCCTTAGATGAAGCGGGCATGTCTAAAAAAGTTTGCCCCCAGGAACAGTTCAAGGTATCTGTTGCAGAGCTGCGTAAAAGACGCTGTCCTTCGTCCTAATAATCTGCCGAGTGCTTGGACGTAGTTACATAGACAGACTGTCACAGAAAGGAGAGGAACTATTATTGGCGAACCCGAGTTTATGACTTTATAGCTTCAATTTTGTTTCAGACTGCAAACATTCAGATATGCTGAACCACCCTGGTTATGTTTTCCTAGAATTATCTATGTATATGATTTCCATACACCATTTTCCTGTAGTTACTGATGCAGCTTTAAACGCAGGTCGCTTATAGCAGCAAAGATTAAGACATAGAGATGTTGTGGCATGCTTATACCACAATGATAGAGTTTATACGTTTGAGTGCAGCATCAGAGAGCAATGGGGACTCATTGGTTCTTCATTCGGCAATAGGTAGGTCCAGGATGATAAGTGAGGCTTTTGAAAAATGGTAGAGAAAATTTTAAAGGTCTTTGTTAAGAAACCTTTAGTGAAATACTCAGCTGCTAAAAAGTGAATGCTGGTCAGTTGTGTTGAACGCGGTCACTTATATCCTTATCACAGATTTTCTTATGTACGGAGAAAGGATCCGCTTGTAAAACAGTCGTGGTTGTACAAGGTTCTGAAAAATACAGCAATTATTTTAACGCTAATAATGACGAAAATCATAATGGTTTGATCAAGGCTGCACCATTCCATAATTAAATATTTCACATGCTTTTTTCGGAGAAGCGGAATGCGTTTCCGATAACTAGGTACGACGGTTGTTGCATAGATTAAATCCTCAGATGGGATTTGTTAAGTGAAAACGGTAGTGTACTTTCAACGAAACTAAATCACAGTGTTAAAAAAAGCTTGTAAAGCTAAGTAGGTGTTTGTTTTTTGTTATCTGCTATCTTTAGGAAAGTAGTAACTGCGAAGTGGCTCAAAACAAGGCGAAATATTTTATATTTTGACTGTTGCTGCTTTAAGGAATTTAATTTAGTATGGTCTTTTCTAGAAATTCCAACGCAGGCAAAAGAGAGGTTCGTCTTTTTCGGTGAAAAGCGATTCCAGTCAGTTTGAACTGCTAACTAGATGTGACCGAGCAGGTTTCTTCAAAGAAATCCGTGTATTTGAGAACTGATTTTACTACGCGGACGTTGTTTTGGCTTTCAACATTTGAAGAAAGAGGTCGAAATTCAAACATTAGACACTTAGTGGCCTTTAATGTTGTGGGTCCTCACTGGTTGTATGAGAAGTACCAACGTGAAGAACCAATTTCATAGACATTGGAAAGTCAGCAAAACTCAGAACATCATACATTTAAAATCAGAGAAAAGCATACTGCTCAACTGCCGGTGCTCGTGTATTGATACCGAACTTTTGAGTTATTTTTGTATGAGGTTTTGGCTAGAACTTGACAAGTTCTGAACTACGTAAACCTGCTGTTTAATGAACCTTTTATGTAACGGTATGCTCATATTCTGTTTCAAAGCTGCTTTTACGTGCTGCCGGCATCGGTCATACAAGTGCTATCTTAAAGCAACTAATATTGCAAGAATGAGGAAGAACAAGATTGTATAACAACTCATAAGGTTGCTGAAAATTCGTCGACAGCCCACGACCGGTTTGGCCCTTTTTGGGGCCCATCAGGTGGGCGCAGTCCCCGAGTTTCCGTCAACCTTATGTTCTACTTGAAACCAAATTGCACGAAATTAGCGAAATACACTCATTTTCAAACTAATTTGGTTTTGCGAGAGACTCACCTGGAACCCAGCTGAATCCCTCGTGTATTACGTTTATACATTTATAGCGATATCTCGAATACCATACCAACTGAAATATGAGGCGGCCCGGTGCAGCACATTCAGTTGCCTGGAAACATCATAAACGAGAGATTCAGCTGGATTCCATGTGAGTCTCTCGCAAAACCAAATTGGTTTGCTAAGTGAGTGTACTTTGCTAAGTTTGAATCACTTTACAACACTTTGAAACAATCTCTGATCCATGAACCAACAAAAGGACAGCACTTGTAAGTCTTTTGTTGCTCCGGGAATGCGCAGAAATGATAGCAGTCGGCAAACCTTGTGCTGAACATTAGCAAATGGACAACAAATCTCCGTGAAGTTTAGTCCCACTGTCCATCACTTACATCAGACGCCTTCCAGTGGATAGGATCGTCCTCGCTTAATCGATGGCTGGCTTTATTGTCAGTCACTTCAGACTAATGCAGGAACTCATTTGGCCCAGCTTGTTTGCATCGGACTGAAAGAATATGCATTCAAGACTGAATCCGATTATTTAACATTTCATGTGATATCGTTTAATTTGAAAATGACTGTTGTTCAACTTTGATAACTAATACCAAGGTATTTCCTGCAGATACCACTGACAAAGTTCTTCGTTGGTTGCGCAACATGCCGAGGAGTAACACGTGCTTAGGCAACAGTGATTAACATTTATTTGTACGGAGGATTGCAAAAACAATCAGGTCCTGATTTGGCGACTAAATTCATTTCACATGGCTGGTAGAAACTGCTGAAGACTTAACATCCTACTCATGAGGCTGCTGAAAATTCTTCGACAATCCACAACCGGTTTCGCCCTTTTCGGGGCTCATCAGGTAGGCGCAGTCTCCGAGTTTCCGTCAACAATATGTTGTACGTTAGCCCAAATTGTACGAAATTAGCGAAATGCGCTCATGTAAAAACCAGGTTTGGGAGACCAACCTGGAAACCAAGTGAAAGAATCTATCATTTATGATGTTCTTAAGCAACTAAGTGTACTGCACCAGGCCGCCTCATATTTCAGTTGGTACGGTATTCGAGATATCCCGATGAATGTATAGACGTAATACACCAGGGATTTAGCTGGATTCCAGGTGAGCCTCCAGCAAAATCAAATTGGTGTGCAAACGAGTGTATTTCCGCTGAAGGCTACTTTGAAGCCTAGTAAACCTCATCCGGTTTCTGAGAGCGACCTACTTGATTCGGGAAATAAGCCGAGGAAGATATATTGCAGGTCTCCAAAAAATGTCCATTGTGTTAAATACTACTATCCGCTGAAAAATAGTCTATTCCTATTGCATTATTCAATACAAGATGAGTTTGTTGTTCCCGGAAAAAAATCCCAATGATAAACAGTTTGCCCTTACATCGAGATTGTTGTATCGGGGACCCGGTTTCTTGACAGTTTCTCCGAATGTAAAATTTTGTTGGATTCCAAAGTGCCCGACATACTGATTCATTAGACTCAAAACAGGAAACTGAATTGAAAAACAACCCGTTTACTTGAAAAGCGCTTACCTAGTCTAGCTCACTAGTACAGAAGTTCAATGAACGGGAATAATGATTTAAGTTCCCTTGGTCCAAACTTCAGTGATATATCATATCAGTCGGCATTTAACCGGCCACAACCATCAGAAGTTTTGCTTGTTTACTCAGCATTCAATCCTTGCAATAACTTTTATTCAATATATTATTTTATTCTATTATATTACATTATCACTAGGACTTCGACCGATTAGGGGAGCGCTCGTAATAGAAAGTTATCTCTCCACAACGAAATAAACAGAAAGAAAACGCAAGTCCAGAGTGGACTTACCATTTACAGTATTGACAGAACTGAGTAAAACGAGACAGAATGCAAATAGAGGAAGGATCAGGCACCACTGCTTGAAAGCTGCGCGGCAACTCATTTCCGAGTCAAAACGGGGCATGGATATCTGGTCACAGTGACATATGGACTTGACTGATCCAATTTCAAACCTTTTGAAGCGGTAAGCTGGCCTAAAATGGGACCCATTATAAGCAGTAAATGGCGCCCACGTAACAATTAATTCAGCACACGTAGATGCGCACAACTTACTATTCCAGAACTGAATCGATTGGAAAGACGTCTTTGCAGTTCAGTTGAGGCATCCGACGGTAACAAGCCATGTTCGTCGTCATGACCGTCAAGGGGGTGATTGGATTGGTTTCAAGCGGCATCTTAGTTTTTGTTTGCATGTCGGGATACCTTTTGGGAACTAATTCCAGCCAAGGGACCAACCCTGGATATTGTCCTGTCCCATTTTCGATCCTTCTGTACAGGCACGCAAAAACGAGAGACAACGATTCATTGGGCAGACAAGTGGACACACCCCATACACCCTCTATGTGTTCCCTGCCGGTGCTAACTCACAAGATGATTCGTGGAAATTCACGATGTCTCTGAACGAGTGCGTCTGGTGTACCGGCTTATCGATTCGTTGTGCCGTCTGGCAAGCCAAACAAACATCGATTTCTATTTGCGCTAATCCAGCTTGCCTACTTAGAGCGACATTCAGGAAAAGGTTAACTGTACATCGCAAGATTAGATTCCAGAATCTGGCAATCACTGCCGATCGATAGTTTCCAGCACTAGTTGAAATAGTTTAGAGGTGGATGCTAAACGAAAATAATGCTTTGCGGATTTCCTTGGTAGCCACTCTGCGCAGTTTTCGAAAAAAAATCAGGTTTGTTAAGTTTACTTTCTAATCACAGCTAGGTGATCAAGGCACACAACGCTGACATGGAAAATAAATTTGAGCCCTACTGGTGTGATTGTTCGTCGAACTTGGCGATTAGTTTGCTCCTCAGCGTACTAGAAGATATCGCAGGTGCGTGGGAACGTGAGTTCGATACATGTCTCGGCAGTTTGGACTGTAACGTTGCTGAAAGTTAATACTGAACTAAAGAGATGTCTGCCACTTGGGTGGTCCATATTCCTTTTTTGAATTGAATATTATGTATTAGTTATGATTCGGGTGAGTCTTTCGTAAAAACCAGGTTGGTATGCATATGAGTGAATTTCAATAATATTTTATAATTTGGGTTTGAATGGGACATAGAGCTTATGGGAATCCAGGATCTGATTCTATCTGATGAGCCCCAAGAAGGGCAAAACTGGTCTTGGGATATCAAAGTGCTTTTAACAGCCTTGTGAGTAGTCTTCTTCATAATGGAACAGGTCTTTTTAAGTTGTTTTTTTCGTGGAGTCTTTATCTGCCTCGAGCAGTTTACGCAGTGTTATTTGAGGGATTATGTTATCCTTTTGTTTAGTAAACATAACTACCTTTGAATGCCATCCATTCAGATTTGTTTTTAGCAGATAATGTGCAGTTATTAGGCGGAATGGTCTTAACACCGACCTAGGTCACTGATGATAACAACTTTCCGGCCACCATCTTATATATTGATACGCATATATATATAATCCTATATTCTTGGTGCTGTTCACATATTGTATGGCGGACATAATGTGTCATATAAACCAGACTAATAATTGCACACTGTCGTTTTCGGCAAGTTTTAAATCTGAACTTTGAACGGAACAATCCGAAGCCTTAGTGTCAAGAAAACACACCTACCGTCTGTTCAGGTGACAAGTTTGTATTTCTGCATTTTTACTAGAAAAGTTGCTGATTTCGTTTGGTTTCATTGGGCAAAATGAGGACAAATTTGTCAAAGTTGTGACTTTTGATTGGCTTTCTGCCTTCTTTGGATAGTTTAGTTTTTCATCTGCAGACTCCAAACCGTAATCCATTACAAGACCTCAAGCTTGACGGCTAAGGAGTTGCAATTTGCTTCAGACCTTATACCAATTATACACGTATCCGTTAAAGCCGTTCTTACTGAAATATTTTTCACTGACGAAAGTCTCATTGTATCATTTCAAGCTTTGGATGAGTTTATTCATGCCCTAGTCGATTCCCCCTAATAATGGTCCGTATTTATTCAAGCAAGTTGACGTACATTTGGGTGAGTCAAATGTGTTACAATCAATAGTAGGCAGTGGTAGTAATGATTTCCTCGGATCGTTACTCACTTTTCATGTAATCCCTCTACTTGTTTACGTATCTTTTTACATTTAATAGTGCCACCCGGAAACCACTGACACAAACGGCTCAAGTAAACGATACTGGTGGTAAAATTACTTCACCCTCCTCACCCTGATGGTTATTCGGAAGTGACCTTGTTTTTACACGCTTTGGTGCACCACTGTTCAGTGAAAAGAGCTGTCAACAACTGGATGGCTTTGGATAAGACAACCCAAGACACAATTTTCGGATCAGCTGAGGCTTTTGGAGCACCGCCAATCCTATTGGGACATATTGCACAGTTATGTGGGAATTTAATAGCGCTTCTTTACTCCTCAAAGGTTTACTGTTGCAGGAATAAAACATAGATATCCACTGCCCAAGAAGTCTTCAGAATGGTGATGAATTGAGATCTGGAATAATTGAGAATGCAATGGGTTTTTCAACCCTATGACAAATTAGTTGACGGTTTTATTTCCTTTGATGATTAGCTTCTGTGTGTAAAGAGTCGAACTCGTGTTAGAAAGTTGCGTGAGACTACTCAGACTGAGTTGACAGAAGTTAGTATCATGAACAGTACAAAAAATAGAGAACCATCGTCATCTATAAGGAAAGGCGTGGCATCAGCCTAAGTCTCTCTCTTCATCTAGGAAGTTGTCAGTTACTCTTATTCGGCCAGCGTGGTAACTCATTTGAGTTCTCATTTCCGCTTAAAGAAGAAAAGAATCTGCAGTGTGTGAAAGCAGATGCACGAGGAAACAAAGTACACCACGCTGAAGCCAGAAAACTGATAAAGATCCAGAAAAACAAATGTGGAATGGTTAAAACGTTGGACAGACGAGCGACTTGTTGCTGGCTATTTCTACAAAAAGACCACCTCGCTGGTAGAATCCACGCCAGAAGATAGTGCCAGAATGACGTCAGAATACACAGCCTGAAAACAGAAATTTGGATGAAGCGGCTATCATATATTGCGAAGCTTCTGTCGACACAATACCGGATATAACGCAAGTGGATGGTAATTCTTTATTTAGCATGACTGTTGGAGATCTAGTTCTTCCATTCCGGGTCTAAAGTGCGCACACCAAAGGAAAGAAGGCCTTTAATGTTGGGCTGGGCAAAATCCTTAGTTTTCGTGGCACGCAGTCCGATCACTCTTAAATCGATCACTTGTGTTTTTGAAACGTTCGCATCCTGAGATGTTTCTCTGCGTTTTTCGCCTCTGGTGCTACATGCTTAAGATAGTACTAACAGAATCTCGGCCTGATCGTGTTTGCCGGGAGCTATTCTGTCGTGGAAATTTTGGCCAACGGAAGAGTATGACGCATGTTCTGCAATTCTGCCTGATCACCAATGATATTCGCTACGTTTGCTGGAGTCAAGTTGGAAAGAAATCCGGAAAACTTCTTCGGCATCTTGCATACGTTGCATTTTCAGGAGATGGAAGCAACTAGTTTGAACTTCTACTGAGTTTGACCTGATCGCTGGTCAGGTGAATAGAAGGAACCCTTGTCTCGGGCGGGTGCGGAATTATTTTGCGGAATAAGAAGAAACAGATTAGTGCTCTATTGCTCTCTCCACCCAACTGCTTTTAATGCTGATGATGCTAGTATATGAGGTGCGTGGTGTCTGCTTTCCACACATCCACAACACTGTTGTTGTACTGGGGCTTTCTGGGACCACAGTCAGTAAGCTGCGTTTAGTTCACCACTTCGGACTCTATACAAAAGCACAACAACTTTACGCTAGATGAATGGAGCTGAATATTCTTTTTGTCAGTCTCTTTCGTACCTGACCGCGCTTGATAGACACTTTGTCCCCGATATATAGCGCTTCAAGAGCGTTGAACATCGCACATCTCTCTCTCAGTTTGCGCCCCCATTTTTGCTTGGAACTTCACTCCACATCCTGTAAACGATTTTTTCGAACCGTTTGCATCTTTTAATGCTTGTCTGTAAATTGCTCCGAGAATATTGCTCTCTGTGAGCTCGGCAATGCCTCCTAAAAAACCGTGTGAGCAGTGTGATCCCCTTTGCTATATCAAAACTATTGCTTGCGAATACGTAAATGCTCCCGGCATTTATTATATTATGGGAGGTTGCGGCGTTGAACTGGGACAAAAAGAGGACTGCATATTGTGTTAGTCCCTCGGTATTTAATGTGCTGATAGTGTTCGTTGAACTGCCATCATGCTTCGGCTGGTTAATGACTGTCAACAGGTATCTGCTTGTTTGCCCCAGGATCTTATTTCATTGGATCAACATCCGGTTTACACGCATCATTAAATCCAGATGAAAGCAAACCCTTTGTAATGACAACTATGCTTAGGCGTCCAGTGATCAAGCTAATTTAATTGGACAACTCTACGGGATTTCAGCCAGCCGTCATCTAGGAACAGTTTGGACTGGTCGACCCATATGTAACACTTAACGAAATTGATTTGAGGCACTTAGACCTGCTGAATGATGCGGGCATGTGAAAGAAGCCGGAGCAACCGATAGTAGTAAGTTGAGCAGTCCGCTCCAGATCAAAATTCGGATTAATTTAGAAAAGTCCAAACTTAGGGTGCCTCCGCTATATACTGCTTTGCTCTCCCTTTTCTCTGTTTAATGCAACCAACTACACAAGAGTGAAGAATGGAAGACGAAGAAACAGTTATTAGATGCCGCCGTTTAAAATGGACGCGAAAAAAAATCGTATCAACTACTCTGAGATAAGCTTTGCATCCGTTTTTGCGAAAAATCTTTCTAAGGTAGCCGTCAGAGACTGGAAAATGTAGTTTAGGGGCATGATATACCGTAGCTGTCACACCTGACCTCATGTACTCCAATGCAATTCCGACTTTTATTTTTCATTTGTACAGAAGAATTAGCACGGCTACTAGTGAAGGGTAGAAGGCCTTCACTGCGGAGTTATTTATTAGAAAATGTCAACTGACCGGTCACGGGCTATTGGACAGGGAAGCAAAATTCTCATTTGAATCTTATTTACGAAAACTGGACATCCATCTTCTCCTGGACGCGTCTTCTTGAACTTTCCTGGATACCCATCGACTCCAATCATT